ACCATTAGGATGTGAGCTCCAGGAGGCGAAGCCAGGGCTCTTGTCGGTTTCACTCATCACTGGATCCTCAGTGACTATAACAAGCATAGCACTTAGTAAGTTCTGTATAAATATTTATTGAATAAAAGAACCAACTATAAAACACAAATGGTTACTAATACCACCAGGGACTCAAATAAATCTGACTAGATGGCCTTTCCAGATGCCTAAATCCCATTTCCTCTCCAATCCTTAGAGAAGGGGATATGGCAGGGATTCAACCTCTTAGTCTAGTACCCTTCGCACATAAACTGTCCTGCAGAGATCCGGAACAAGGGCCAAGGTGAAGAGGAGGGGACTGGGAAGGGAGCCAAGCTTGAGGAACAATTAACTATGGGAAGGAGGGAGACATCATGTGTGCATGGTGTGTGCCCGAGAGCTCCAGCACACTCACGCATACCCATCTGAAAGTGACCTCTGCAAAGCTGGTGTACACATGTGCCAGGCTTCGTCATGGTGGGTCAGAGTACCAGAAAGTAGCAGCAATGGGCACACTGAGTCAAAGAGCGGTCTCCTGTGGGTTTGGAGCTGCTTGGGCACAGGTCTGTTTCATCAGGCACGTATCAGAATGCATGGTTCTCTATGAAGAAAAGCGATGGGAGCCCAGGCTGGCAGAGCATCAGTACTGATCCAGCCTCCCCCGATCCTGCCTCTGGGTGCTGGGGTAGGAGGAAAAAGAGAGAAACAGCTTGGAAGAGGTTAAATCCAGGTGAGCAGGGGTGATGTTCCATATGCGGAACGTCCTTCAACAGCCAGCCTGGCACACGTCAGCAGGCTAGGAGCACAGCGGCACACCTCCCTTTGGTGCGCTAGCCTCCTCTGAGAGTGAGGCTGGAGGACACACAGCCTCCTTTATCTGAGGCCCTTCCATCTATCAGTCCTGTTACCCTGCCCAAAGCACATCCCTCAGGGCCACTTGAGCCATTACTTGGGGGGACAAGGTCTCCAAGTTGGCACAACCTGTAGACCATGCTGGGAGAGATTCTAAAAATAGAGATGCAGACAGGGACCTCAGGGACATGAATGTGACTCACTCCTTACTTGGAACATGTACTGTGGAGCAGCCAGTGGGGGATTTTTTTTTTTTTTTTTTTAGTCTCTGCATATTAAAGGAGGATTGGATTTCGGAAATTCTGCCCTTCTCTAAGACTGCCTTAATAAATACAGAAGCCCAGGCAGAAAAACATAAACAGCATTTGTTAATGTTTTCATTTGTCTCTCTTACAGGGAAATTAAGTAAATTGCAGAAAACACCAGATGACCTTAAACTTTCACTTGCCATTTATCACACCATGGGCCTGAGGGCCTGTAATTCTGGGCACTCACACGGAAGATGCTCCCAGGGCACTGCCAGAAATCATCTTCCAAGTGCTCTCCCACATTCTCTCACCCTTCAGAGGCTGAGGACTTCCCTCTGGCACCTCACAAGGAAAGAAGGCCAGACCCATCCCCTGAAGCGCACCTATGTGCATTAGCATCAAGACCTCCACCAAAAGGCATCTCAGAAAAAGCCCTGGGCCTTGGCACAGCCAGGCAAAGCCCCAGGGGAAGCTAATCACCTTGCCACCCAGTTTGTTTGCAGCCACTTTCCCACAGACCACTTCAGAGAAAACCTCAAATGAATATCTCTCTCTCTCTCTCTCTCTCTCTCTCTCTCTCTCTCTCACCTTCTGCAGCCTTCAGCTGCTTTTACGGCACTTTTTCAGAGCTGGAGTTCTCTCTTCAGATACGCCTTGGTCACATCAATGAAACACAGAAGTGCATGTGCTCACTGCCCCAGCACACATCCCCCTTCTGGGCTCTCCTCGAGGACCAGAGGAGAAGGGGAGGGGCTGTTGGGATGGGATCCCCCAGATCAATGGATATTTGAAACTCAAGCACATGGCCCTGGACCTACCCTGCAAGTGTTAATTACCGCACATGTGCCCGTAAAGGAGTCCGTTAAGCACAGGCGCCCAAAGAACAGAGAGAAAAGGACATTCCAAGGGATTAAGTAAACAGTCTGAAGTTCTGACCCTCCTCCCCTGCAGCAGCACGTGCATCTGGGGAAGATAACAGTCCCCCCTCCTTCCCCGCTCCTTCCCTTGGGGCCCCACACCTGCGGACCCAGGGACAGCAGCAACCCAGGCCTCCCAGCCCGGGCCACACGGCTGAGACCTGCTACTACCCAGCCTCCCCCTCCTGCCTGCCCGCTTCCTGCTATCTCTCTGGGCTTCCTCCCCCAGCTTCTAGCACTCTGCCTTTCTCCTCCTATCCTTCAGAGGACTGATTCCTGGCTGGCAACCAGACTCTCTGCTGTCACACAATGCGTCTTTTCATTCCTTCCAGGCAAAGAGAACTGATCCCTCCCAGCCCTGTCAGTGGGACAGATTCAAAAAGGCAGGAGGGCAGAGAAAGAGAAGGCTCGGTCCCATCCTGACCCTGCACCCCACACACACACACCACAGACCTCTAGCTTCACCTTTCCAGCCATACCCTCAGCTTGCACGCAGCCTGGGCCAGCATGGCTTTGCGCTTGCCTAAGACTGGACAATCGGCTCTAGGGAGACGCTGCGGGGCAGCCACGTGTGGGCACAAGCTCAGACAAGGGGCCTTTGTGTCTTCCCACCTGCTGCCCTGCAGAGCACATTCCATTCTTAAGTGGCAGCTGAAAGAGGAACCTTGGCAGGTCGACACAGGATATTACGAATGCCCTTTCTCTTGCACCCTGTCCCCATTCAAACTCCAGCTTCCTGGACAGGTGTTACTTCAGGTGGCCCTTCCTACAGGTGGCCTGAACCTGCTCTTCATGGCTCGGCCCATGACACACAAAGAGAAGAGGATTCAGTGCCTAATTTGATCCTCCAAGGAGAGGGAAGGAAAGACCACAGGGCAGAATTTGAGTCCCCATGGGGGAGGAGCCCCAGTGCGCGTGCACACACACACACACACACACACACACACACACACACACTCTTGTCCTGACCTGTACCCCAAAGAAACCTCTTCAAGAACTATCTGGGAGGGAGGAACCCATGTAGAGCAGAAAGCAGAGCTGGGAGCTGGCAGCGATCTTTCCCTCTGAGAGGAGGCTTTAGGTTCTACCCTGTTCCCTGTGTCACCCCTGGAGGCTATGGCTCCTCTGCAGCACACCCTAAGACTAAGATGTGACAAAAGGTGCTGCCAGGGTGCAAAGCCACATCAACCTGGAGAACAGGTCTCTCTTCAGTTTAAGGGTTCTAATCCCACAGCTGGCCTTTCCTGGTGCAGATATTATATCTGCTCCAGGTGGGGAAAATCCGAGCAGTAGGTTTGCGCGATTGCCATTTTCCCCTCTTCTACTGCAACCTCTGCCCAGAAATAAGAATGAAGATTTCAGCTGCAACAAGCAAAACTAAAGGCACCTCCCATTTCCAAACCCTGCAGACACATGCCACTGGCAGCACTGGTGACTTCAGATCTTGAGACCTACTTTTCTCCCCTCTTTCCATTTGCCCACCTGGGAAGGAACACCTGCACCCAGGGCTGTCTCCCCCACTCTGAGAAGGACCTGGAACAGTGCTTGTGTCCTTCTTTTAACTCACTTACACACTCCAGCCCAGGGTAAAAGGAGTTGCCCAACTGGTCCACGGACCCATGTTTCCTGTGGGTGGTGGGAGCACCATGTGCCACTTCCACGTCTTGGAGCACCTGCGTTCAGGGAAGTGGGGTCTCCGGGTTCTTATCTCCTGTATTCAGGGCAGGTGGCTTTACCTCTGCTTCCCATCCCCATGGCATAAGCACCTGGGGCAGGGGCTAGGGCCTGGCCTTGATCTCCCACTAACTACGTGTACAGCACAAGCCTGAGAACTTCCACCAAATGTCAGCAACTCCAGCTCTCCATGTGGGAGCTTAGGAGCATGTCAGCTCTGAGGTCTGGATACGGTACGAAGCCTTAAGTCTAGCTATATGGGAGCTCTGCAGTGCTCACACATTCAATGAAATGGATACTTGCTTCCCAAGCCACCAGCAGCTCCTTGTGTGTGCTATCTGGGAAATCGGTAGCAGTGAACTTTAGGCCTCAAACTGTCCTTGACCCTGGAAACTGTGGTCGGCACATCCCAGGGCTACTCCTCATGCCAGCGGGTCCATCATACAGCATTCACACAAATGCCAGCTATGTAACTCATGTGAAAGGACACTGCATGGCCCCCTGTACAAAAACCAGGAAAAGAGACATTAAAGGTACTAAGATGTAAAGCTTCACCCTTTCTTCTGTAGTCTCTCTCTTTTGACTTTGGCATGATGGTTTTTAATTTGCTATTTAGTGTTGCACCAGGTAAAGAAAAATTCAAACCTCAAGTCTGCTGTAGAAACAGGTCAGCATGTGTCACAAGAGCTGTGCACTACCGTGGTGACAAGGCCCAGCACCCGATGCTCATGGTGCATCTTCTCTGCTCATGGGCCCTGTGTCACTGTTCTTTCAGACCCAAGACACAATTATTCAGAATTTTAAGAGAACGACTGCACAGGTCACACATCCATGGAGCCAGCCCAGCCTCAAGGAGGGAAGTCTAGATGTGCTGGAACTCATGATTAAAGAGAATCAGGAGGGAGAAAAATACCCAAATAGGTTTATAAAACAAGGACATCCAAAGACAGACATTGACACAGTTTTCTCAACCTCTTCGACGAAACACCAGCCTCTCTGGTAGCTGATCAACTGAATTTCTCGGGTGCCAAGATTATCAGGGCTCACACAAACGTCTCCGTCAGCTCTGTGATTCTCTCTCTCTACTACCTTTGAAAGTTCTGGGATCTTGTTAGCCACCGCCACATGTGCCTTACCTCCACACCTCTGGGAGGAAATGGGCAATGAGAATGGAGGAGACTTTCTGTAGGCCACTTTCAGCTTTCACCCCAGGCTCCTCCTATCTCATCCAAGAACTCCATGGGCCAGTGTGAGATGCAAACATTTAGAGAAAGCATAAAACTCTACTCACCTTTCTTTCCTGAGTTAACCTGGCTCAAGGGCTTATCGGTGACTGAACCTTGAATGAGAGGGGAAACAAAAACATTGGCATTCAGATGCACTGCGCTTGGTTTCTTTCAAAGAGTTGGCAAAGCCCAATGCTATGAGCATATGGAGATTTATACACACACACACACACACACACACATACATATATATATATCACATCTGGGGACACAATATACAAATATACAAAGTCACACAGTGAGTGTGGTTTGTTTAACATCAATGTCACTGATAACCCAGCACTGCTTTGAGGTGAACTATGATTTCTAGGTTCCCCAGCATTAGTCTTGACTAGGTTTTTATGAAATTCCACATCTGCATAACTCTCCATTTCAATACCTGCCCCTTGAATTCATATCCATGTCCCCCACTTCTCACGGACTCCATGTCTGACCCATATCAAGTCAGCAGAACCAACTGAAAAGAGACCCTTCTTACTGCAAATGCAATGATTGACATCCCTTGCTGGTTAGGGCAGGAAATTGGTGATTTTCCATCTGCATTAAGTAGAAAATTGTTGGTCCAATTGTACTGAATGGGCCAAAATAGTCTGAGGCATGGAAACAATTTTCCTGTTCCTCAAGGAGGGGTAACGTGTATTTGTCCAAACATTTGCCCCACATATCCTAGGAAGCCATGCACACCTATCCTCCAGGCCTAACCCCATGGCACCTGTGTTTTCCATGATTCCCAATTTTGTACACATAGAGCATAAACATTCATCACAGAAAGGAATCCATGGAGGTCCCACCAGCAAAAGACAAGAGAAAATCTATGTTTTTATAATTGGTATCATTCCCTTCTCTAAATGCTAGCTTTGTGTTTTTCTGTTATATTGACCCACATGGCTTGTTTTTAGTGCCTTTGTTTGCTTTATATGAAACTTGACAGGTTGTTTGCAAAGAAGGCTAATTCCTGCCCCTCCTCACCTCAACCTTAAGGTTTCTGGTTTCCCTATAAACCACAAATAAAGTAAACTTCCATTTAGTATACAAATTTTGATATTCTAACATAGTCTTACTGCCCTTCCCATTTATTTTTCCCTTTGTATAGAAAAGCTTTTAGAAAAATAGATATTTTGTAAAGAAAAAATTTTTAAAGATAAGACTGCTAGCATTCCACATAGGTTTTTACCATAAATATTTATACTTTTTGCACAAATAATTAAAAATAATAAAACCATTTCCATACAGAGGAAATATAAAGCAGCTGATGGGTAAGCCAGGCCTTTTTTTAGTAAGGGCTAAGCTACATGGTGAATTTAAGAGTGGCTCATGAGTTCCTTACCAATTAATGGAAATAGACAGCATGGGGCTTGTGTAAATCCATCATCCATGATCCCATGAAATTGACCTAACAACAGAATTCCTCTGTGCTTATCAAGTTGGAAACAGTAATGACTTAATTTCTGCCATGGACTAACTCACCAACTCACCATTGAGCAGTAGTTCCTAACTTGCCTAATCATCAGAACCACAGGAGAAGCATCATAAAAATAAGGACGGCAAGTCTCACTCCAAATGTACAGGATCAGAATGTATAAGAAGAAGCCTCGACATCTAGGTTCTTCTTAATTACCCATGTACTTCTGAGGATCAGCCAGATTTAAGGGCCACTGTTAGGAAAACTGTCCATTATTCAACTTTATATTGTTCAAGGGAGGCAAATCTATGGTACAGAGGCCACCACTGTCCTCTCCTGCACACACGAAAGCTATCACTCATTGATCACTGTGGCCTTTGATGTGGAACATCCATGTAGTCTCAAAGTCCATTCCAATAACACACTTCAATAGCAATCCGTCAGCATATAAGCTACACATTTAAACGCTATCCCAGCTCTAGGAGTTTCATTCAATGCTTAGGAAAAGAGCATTGAACCAGAAAGCTAAACATATACATACAGGTATATACTGACCCTTCTCACCCAGCTGGCTATGAGCAAGTCTGTTGCTATGCAGTCCTCCCTGACCAGGAAAGACCTCATAGCCACCACCAACCTTTCAAAGGTTCCCCCACAAGATGATCCCCCTAGGGACCTTTCTCCAACCCCTTTTGTTCTTCCCGCCCCTCCCTACGGTACCTGAACATACAGGAGTTTTGTTCTGCACAGAAGAACCACTGATAGGCTTCCCATCCGGGGTGACACACCAGCAGTACCCTGTGTAGGTATGGCACTGAACCTGTTCAGAGAAGTGGGAAAGGAAAAGAATCAGGAGTCTTAGGTCACCGTATCAAGAGTCATCTCTCACCCCTTTTCAAGCATCAGTCAGTGGAAGTGCTCCTTGTACCTCTCACCCTACCCCTTGCTCCAGAGTGACTCTCACAAGTGGACCAGTCAGCCAACAGCATCAGGACATTTGCTATATGACCCACATACCCAACCACAATTTATCTGCTTTCTTTGACTCCAAAAATTTAATATCTGATATCAAGCGGAGACACGTCCACTGTGATTTTCCTGCATCAGTAGGCCTCCCAATACCGGTATTTTTTCTCTAAAGGCTATTATATGCTCCCATCCAATTGTAGAAGATTCTGAAGAGTAAACTGATTTGTCAAGTACAAGTTGGAATGTCACCACTATAGACTGACATCACATTTCTTTAACAAGTAGAAGTAAACAGTAAGTTTTCCTTCTTGTTCCAGCTTCTCCAGGCATTGGTTCACGGGTCACGTTATCTATTGACCACATGGCTCTCCTGACAAAAGGGGACCCATCATGAGGTGAAGGCAAGATCAAAGCACCTTATGCCTGCAGGTTCTATTTCAGGACACCCAGCTGTACCACTGGGTGATCTTCCTCAAGCTCTAAGAACAGGTCTAAGAATAGTCAACAAGTGTTGGTTTTTTGTTTTTTGTTTTGCATTCTTCTGAGTGACTTTTTTTCTCTTTCAATAGCTATCACTCTGCCCACCTCCTCCCACCCTATTATCTTCATCCCTTTGTTTTCTCTTTGGTATTCCTAAACACACAGATAGGCAGATCCCGCTGGCTTTAAGATCCTTCAGTGATTCACCTTTGGACTTGGGATAGAGATTAAACTAATTTGCATGGCACTCAAGGTCAAGATCCCCCCACCCCATCTATTCCTGCAGTGTCATTCTACACCCACGGCTCCACACACACCCTCTACTCTGGCCACAATGAACTCTTTGATGGTCCCAAACACACCCTAGTTTCCCATGACTCTGAATCTCAATTCGCTGCAGCTATTCAATTTGTCTGGAACACCATTCTTTAGCCTATTCCCAACACTTTCCTAATCTCTCTACATTCCACCATCCTTTATCATTCACCTTCTCCTCTCTTAGCACAACTCCCAGCCCTGCCTCCTTCCTCTGATCCTTCCCCAAAGCAGAACCCTTATCACCATGAGCTCTAGCTATGGATTTGGCTGCTCCATCTCCCTGCTTTAGACCTCAAGGACACATGACAGCCATTTTTACATTCCCAGGGTAGAGCATTAACATCTAACATTTTATTGTAGGCGATTGATGGCTTGCATAAAGGCATGAATTCTCATGTTTCCTCAATTCCTAGTCTCCATCAATTCTAAAAATGCAACATCAATACAGCTGCACCACATTAAACGCAGATCTCAGTGACAAGATGTGTGCCAAATGCAATGATATTAAAGTATGGAAAAAAAAAGTGTGCCTCTTGGGACCAAGGACATTGAAATTGATATTAGACAGTAATTGCATACAAATTGAGTAGGGAGTTGTAGAAGGAGACAGAGTGAAAAGAGCAATCTGACAGGCTGAGACCCAGATGTTATCACTAAGGTAGAAAAATCTACAGAAACGCTTTTGCTCTTGCTTAGGTACCAGGCATCATAATTTCCCCCAAGACAAGTTGTTCCGTCACAAGCCTATCCACAGAAATCAGGGGAAGACAAGATAGAGGGCCCCTCGCTCCTACCAGCAAGATGACTGCTATCAAAATGAGGCCCTTGCTTCTCCAATTTCTGCAAGGAGGTTGTATACAATGCCTTGATCCCAGAACCACATTCCACTCCCACTTCAATTCATGGTTATGGTTGATATTCCCTGGCCACAGGTGGTACCTGTGGTACTCAAAATCAACAACTCAGGTTGGGTTGTGCTACCTTCTAAGGAGGCCTAATTATGAGCTGGAAAAATTCCAGACAGAATAGGGTTTAATCCTGGTCCAGCCAGTTGGAAGCCAGGTAAGAGCTCTTGGACCTCCCTCCATACACCAAACTGAGGGTAGGATTATGGTGAAACACCTTGTCTTGGGAGAAATGATGGTGTTTGGTAGCAACGTCCAGCCTAGAGGATCTGATGAGGCAGTGCAATGCCTCACACGTGGTGAAGTCCAGATAGAGTAGCTGTGGTGATGACTGATGAATGCTCTGACCATTGGGCTCCTCCTAGGCCAGAGCTCTCCTAGTACTCCCCGAAGGCATGGGTGGGAAATGCAGTTGGAAACTTGGAGCCAACCTCTGCAGATTCCACTGGCCCTGCAGCGGGTATTTTCTAGACACAAGTCCCAGCCAGGGACAGCATTTTAATGGGATCTGGCTGGCCACAATCTCCTCACTGGCCAATAATCACCTCTGGGGACTCAGCCCAGGGTCTGGGCAGCCATGCTGACTCACTCCCAGGCTCCTTGGCTTCCATGGTCAAGGAAGGCCTCTTTCTGCACAAGGCCTGTGCCCCAAGCCACACCCGTGGCTGTGCCTCTGCTCAGGGATGCACTGACGGTGCCAGGCACTGTAGTCAGGCAGGCTGCAAAGACCTGGCCTATGTGAAAGCCTCCTCCAGTGGGGCATGCACAGAGTCCAGCTGAGGTTACTGGGGACAGAACTAAATTCGTAAGGAAAAGGCAGAGCCCAAAGCTTTGTTTCAGGGGATATAATCTGACCTAAGGGATCAGTGGGTCCCAGGGGCCACTTTCTCCCTGAGTGGGCCCATTGTATCCCTGCAGGCGCATGAGCATTGCCTCCCAGCCCCCAGCCTGGCCCACAGGCCCAAACACAGCTCCTTTCTCCCCAGGGCCCTCAGCAATTTCCCCATCTTCCCTCCAAGGAACAGACCCCAGATTACAAAGTCATTGGGCTGGGACCTCCTTCCAAATTCCACAAAACTGAAACTGATTGAGGAACTGCTGTCATGTTCCTGAGGCTGGGGGTACACAGCAGCGGCATACCTGCCCCAGATGTGCTGCAAGGGAGGGGGCAGCTGGGAGCAAGTGAAGTCACAGAGACCCCAGGAGGCTCTCAGACTGCAGAAGCAACCAAGAAAAAACCCCATTCCTGAAGGACCCTTCATGGATATAGCCCATGCTTCTCAATAGAGCGGTTGGGTTATCGTTTTAGTTTTTGTTTTTGTTGTTGCTGTTCTGAGATAGGGCCTCATTTTGCAGTGCAGGCTGGCCTCAAACTCATAGTGATCCTTGTGCCTCAGGTTCCCAAGTGTAGGGATTACCGATGTGCGCTACCATGCCCAGCTGAGAAGTGTTTTTTTAATTGACCCGGGGTTTCAAGGTGTCTTCTTGCAGAAAAGAACTGACCTAGAGACACACTGCAGCCTCAGAAAGTTTCTTGATCAGACTAAGTCTCGGACTCTGCATTTATTTTAAAAGGGAAGATGATGATGATGATAATGATAGTAACTATTTCAGTTGTTGGGAGAGTTCAATTAGATAATGTAAATAAAGCACTTAGCTCATAGGATAAGTTCCCAGTTAATTTTAACAATTTATTTTTATTGTCATCATTATTTTTTTTTTTTGTAGCAAACTAACTGTACACTCAAAAAGGCCAGAGCCAGATTATCTGATAGAAACAAAAGAACATCCTATTCTGACCAGAAAAGAGCAGTCTGAAACAAGAAAAATGTGTGAAAAGGTTTGGGAGGAGGAAGAGGAAGTTTGTTTTTATATAGGAATGGTAGTATTATTCTCAGAGAAGAGAGGCAAAGCTTCCTGCAGAAGAGCAATTGGGGTAGAAATTCTACAGAGTTGATATATAATCAAAATGTAATTCTTCCTGGTTCATCCTTCTCCTACCCAAATTGATTCTTTCAAATTAGCAAGTAATACCTTTTGTTGCCTCAGAGCCAATGAATCAGTTCTCACCTTTAATCTATAGGAATGAGGAACTGATGAAGCCACTTCTAATATCTTGCTGAGCAGTTCTCAAAATTCTGTTTTCCAGCCTCAGAAAGGTACTATTGCAAACCAAGGAACTGGTTCCTAACCCACACTGGCACATCCTAGCAAGGCTAAAGTGTCAACGGACAGGTCCTCTTTTAGAGACACAGTGTGTTTGCATATTAACCAACCCAAGTGAGGTTACCCTCTCTTATGTTGCAACTATCCTGTTGGATATAACTGATGTTCCTAAGGGTACTGTAAAACAGTTTGTTCTTAGATAAGGAAGTTCCATCTGTGACTCACACACTCGGATACTATTGGCAAGAGGCCCTTTCCATAAACAGCCCAGTTGTATACTGCAGTTCAACCACTGTCTAAATTAAGACAAATGTGAAATCATTGTAAGTCTGCTAACCTTCAACATTAGCTCAACCCCTGGCTACCTAGGAGAATGTGGGAGACCAGCACCCCAACAAAGGAGGACAAGTGACTAGGGAGCAGAGAAGCCCTGAGAAAATACCAGCTCACAGGGGACAAATATTGGAACGTATCAAGAAAAAGAGAGGGGCAGAGAGATTGTACATATAATCCCAAAGGTTTACATCACCCATAGGGCCATGACCAAAACGGAAAACACCACCCTCTACCTTGACCATGGTTTCTCAATCTCCTTCGATGATCTCTGCATTGCCTCATGTAGGGCTCAAAGTCACCTTGTGTGTAAGTCCTTTATAGGACAGGACGGGCAGCATTATTGATTCAAACGTCACAGGTAGTTAATAAACATCCAAGAAATTAAAATCCTGATATTCAAATGCTTCTAACATTTTAGAACTGACAAAGGGCCAGGAAAGCTTTAGAGAGCACCAGTCTAACCAAACGTTTTTATAAGTGAGGAAACGGAGGCCCAGACACAGAGAAACAGCATGGACCCAGGGCCATAGTCCTGGCAGATGGAAACCTCTCACCCTCCAAGGGAGAAGGAGAAAGGGAGCAGTTCTGAGTGCTGTTGTCAGAGGGAACTGCCCGAGTCTTCGTGCCTCCATCATACAGAACTCTT